CCCCAAAAACCCCAAAACCCCAAAACCCCAAAACCCCAAAACCCCACCATTCTTCATAGATGTTGAAATAGTCTCATTGAAATATATTGAAGGCTTAGTTCCCACTTACAGCATACCAAGAATAGAAGCCCTTCAGGATCAAATGCTCTCTGTGGAATCTAGAATGATCAGAATCGAGATTACTTTACAGCCACTTGCTTGGGGGTTAGAACATCCTATACAACATTAGAAATAACTAAGGTAATGATTTGAGCACTATCAGTGTAATAAAGAGAAAATTTAGCTGAAATTGAGAGCAATCAAGATTCTTCTTTAAAGTATTTTGGAGAAAAATTCTATTTGAACTAGTTTATACTAAATCAGCACATGAGTACTTATTTATCATATCTACATGGCTAGATATGCCCCATAGGCCATATTTTAAAGCATGTAAATATACTATGAGCTTCTCTTGGATGTGCTAAAGATAATTTTGGCTTTAAATCTTGCCTATAATCTATCCTATTCATCTAAATTATACCAAAAACTACAAACTTGTTCCTACAGGGCTTACCCTAGTTGGAGCTTCTGGAGAGGATTCTTGATATTCGACTATATAAGAATTAAACCTTTATTTAGATTGTGAAAATATAAACTTCACACTATACATTTCATATTAGAGCTATATTGCTCTCAATCCTCTTGAGAAGAAGAGTAAGCTTCTTCATACTTTAGTGATCTCTTCAATGATCTCATTGTATTGCTGTACATCTGAAAAGATACAAATGCTTTGCTAAGCATGCACTGCTCATTGTAGTTTATAGCCATTATTAGTCTCTGAAATTCTATAATTAGCTAAAGATCGATACTATGAGCCTTAATTTGTTCCTTTGTTAGTCCAAAGTAAGCTGATTTTCTATAGAAGTACAGTTAGAAAATTAATAATTGTACCTTTGCAAAATCTCTCTATTATTTACGCCTTTTAGCAACATATTTCTTCCAAAGTTTCCAGTATTTTAACGTTATTTTGAAACTATCAGTAGTAATTGTACGAAGATTTTGGGTAAACGTTGAGGCAGATTTCTGACTTTGATTACTCTTAAAAGTTCTGCTTGCATCAGCTTTAGGTAAAATTTTGAACTTACTTATGTCCCGGACTGGCTCTTGTAAATCAAGCGTATAGGCTAAAGAATAAGAATCCTGATACCATCATCGTTCTGGGACACTTGCTTCTCTTCACTATTCTGCTTGAAATCAGGTGATTTCATAATTTTATCTCTCATGTTATCAGTATAAAATCAATCCATGACATTTGTATTGTCCTGATTATGTCTAAATCCATAATGGTTCTAACTTACTTGTTCTCAGTATTGAATCAGTTCTCCATTGTCCCAAAGAACTCCTTGTACCTAGGCGAGGCAACCTCTGAGGTCCTCCTCTGGCGTGGCATGTTCATGCCAGGTATTTTCTGAGACATCATTTCCCACAAATTATTTAAAATAATCCCTATTGGGGTTTTGGGGTTTTGGGGTTTTGGGGTTTTGGGG